AACCCACAAACTCGTCATAGTGAATCTAGCGATCACGAGTATTAGTTTTTACTTTCTTTGTAAAATAATACTAGAAAACCTCTGAAGCCACAAAACGTTTTACTGGAATTCTGTACTATGGAGATGTGTCAAAAGCATGCAAAAGCATCACTGCTGTGTTTAATGTTTGATACATTGCGGCTGTGTTTGTTTCTATTAACTACTGTAACAGCAATGGGCGATGGGCGAACAAACGCAGCATCAAACCCAAACCAAAGTAAACGTTTGATCCTTGTGTTTCGGTTTGCGGCCAGTCCCTATAAAACTTTTCGCGCTATTTTCTATTTTAAAGCTGTTAAATAGGAGCTGAACGATTGAAAAAAAAAATGTTCCAAATGATCAATATTCTTTGAGTTTAGGTTGTCCTTTCGGACACGCCTAATCGAATTGACCGGCAGACAAAAACTGAGACCGAGTAATTAGTTTTTTGGAAGTGTTTTAACACTTTAAAAAGAAACTTCTCAACGACATTTGCATATGTCATATTTCTAACTGACTTCTTTGTAATATATAACATCAATTTGCAAAAATTCTTGCGTGTCAATAACATTTTTAAGTTAAAAAACGCTTTAAGGTTAATGGAAAAAGTATGTAAATTTGATTTCCATTATATTTACAAAGGTTGTAAATATCGTGTAAATGTCCAAACTGATGTAAATAGCGTGTAAATTTGGATTTACGCGATATTTACATCGTTGATTTTCACCATATTTACAATGTTTGTAAAAAGTGTGTAAATTTGATGTAGAATGTATGCAGATTTGATGGATATGATGCAAATTTACAATCTATATGTAAAAAGGTTGTAAATTTGATAGAAATAGTCTGTAGGTGTCCAAAATGATGGAAATATTTCTTACATCAAATTTATATCGTTTTTCATCAAATTTACAGCGCGATTTTTTCCAGTGCAAGGTGAAAAACCAAGTAGCAATACTTGGAYACTAATTTTTTGGGGAAGCWGTTCCAATGTCCCATTCATTCTTTGTAATGTTTTGAGTTTCTTTTAAAAACGCTTGCGGCTCTGTAATTATTGGTTGGGACGCGGTAAAACATACTAATTTTAGTATGCAATTTCTTATCTTGGGATACGTTTATGTATTGCTTCAAACGGCATCGAGATTCTGACTCGGTTTCTTTATAAATGTCGGAAAGGCTAATTGACGCAGGACATTAGTAGTATACAAAATAGCGGTTCAACGCCAGGCGGATCATGGCGGATTGCGGATCGGACAAATTAACCATAATTAGATGCGACAAAACAATGGAACAAGGTGAACGGCGGATCAAGATCCGCCGTAGAGTAATGTTGTATGTTGCTAGGGTGACTGCATGCAAATGAGGCAAAAGTGATAGGGGAGGGGTGGTCAAAACGAGTAGGTGGCAATTCATTATCATAAAATTGTGGGCGACTTTTGTGTTGGTAAATTGTRGGCGATCTAATTATGCTGTGTTGGTAAATCGAGGAGGGTAATTATCATAAATTGTGGGAATCATATACCATGAAATTACTATTGTTCCTGAACAAATGGCTGCCTGGACCTGCCTGAATAAAACACAACATAAGTTATTCAAAGTCACGTGGTTTCTTGAGCGTGAAAGCGCTTGCCTCATCATTTATGGAGTTGCTTTCTCATGTCAACATMGACTTATTTGTCGGCAATCTAAATATGCAGTGTTGGTAAAATTTTATGTCAAGGTTCAACGATCGCATAAATTACTATCCAGTGAAGAAAAGGTTAATGATYACCTTTGTCTGAGACAATAAGGTCACCTGCTAAAGGAGTTTTCAATATCCAAAAATTATGATTTTCAATATTTTTACATTTCTAACTAATCATAACTAGATTTCACTTTTACTACTGTGACATTTATTACTTGAAAAAGCTTCCGAGAGGCCCGGATATGCCCGGAAAGGCCCGGAAAGGCCCGGAAAGGCCCTAAGCTGTCATGTAGGGTCGATGTCAGGTCGATGTCAGGTCGATGTAGGGTCGATGTCAGGTCGATGTAGGGTCGATGT